CTAATTCAGACTGGTTTTGTTTGCTTTCGAAATGAAGAGAGCCGGTTTTAGCAAAGGCTGGCAATGAATAATTACTCCGCTTTGAAGGACTGGTGGATATTGGATATAATACCCGTTTGGACAGACACCAGCTGCTTCTCAGCCGCCCTACTCCGGGCAGTTTGGGAGGAGGGGAAACCTCTAGGGAAAAAGAGCCGTTCTAGTGGGAAGCGCTAAGGGCACATTTGATCCTAATGGTGAGGGCAGCTCCTATTATTGTTTTAAACGACCACGAAACAGCCATTCAGAGGTCCCTCCCTGTCCTCTGCCTTCTCCGTTTCTTGGTCCCCCACTCTCCCAAGGGACCCTCAAGTTATCCAAGCCGGTCCTTTCTCAGCCAAAGGCTGCTGCACTAATGCGAAGGAAGCGTGGGCGTCGCGGCGCCTGGCCTTCGCTCTGGGGGCCTCCGGAGGCGACACCCCTGGGCCAGTTTCTGGGCTCAGGCCCACCTTCTTTCTCCCTTGGGGTGGTGGGGGGGAAAGGCCCAGAAGCTCGCCTGGGGTTTCCCGAGGCCCCGTTGGAAACCGACTCTACGTCTGTAATGCCAGCAACTCGGGAAAGCGCAGCCGGGGCGCAGCGCCCTAGGTAGGTTTTCACCGAGAGCGCACGGGATCTAGTATCCGCAAAAGGACGGACCTCGGGAGGCGGCCAGCTCTCCAAGGCGCTCCTTGGGCTTTTGCGCTCAGCTTAACGCCCGGCGGTGGGGAATGACCGAAGCAGGGTCTGCGCACACACACACACACACACCCGCAACCACGTCGACGTAAAGCCACTGGGTCCCCCCCGCCCCGCCAGGCGGCAGGTGCGTAATTGCGCTTTTCCCCAGCGAACTTCGACGGCGCGCCTCTTCGGAATCTCTCGCCGCAGGGGTGAAATTCATCAGGTTCTGGAGAACCGGTAGCGGAAATTTTGAGTGGTTCTGAGAACCGACAGAAACCAACTCTAGCTTGGCCCCAGAATGGGGTGGGAATGGTGATCTTGCAATATCCTTTCCCCAGGAGTGGGGAGGGAATGGAGATTTTGCAGTATCCTTCCCCTGCCATGCCCACCAAGCCACGCCACGCCCACCAAGCCACGCCCACAGAACCGGTAGTAAAAAAAATGGATTTCATCACTGTCTCGCCGGCTTCCAGTTTAAGATCAGATTAAGACGGGCGGGGGTGGGTGGGATACAACGTACCCCCCCCCACAAGTCGGTCAAACGCTTAGAGAGCGTTCCAGGGAAAATGTTGCTCAATTTTGCTCTCCAAAAGTAGGGGGTGGGGTAGTTGGCGGGCCTGTCTACCAGCCACGATTATGGGATGTCTGGGGACCCGCGACAGCCTGGACTTGGGGTGGAGAGCTGGGTGACCATGGAATCATATCCCAACCCACCCACCACCACTCTTGATAAAGAAGGTGGAGATAAAAACCCAAGAACAAAGGAGAGAAGGTCCGGTGGGGATGATCTGAAAAGGCTGGGTTCTGGGATGGAAGCTGCCTTCCGCGCCCCGCCCGCTGGAGGTGAATTGGGCTAGCAGTGCATAAGAGGCTGGCTTTCGCTATGGCTGGTTAGTCTGTCCTCGGGGGTGGGGTGGGGGGTCGCGCGAACATTTTTTTCATAGAGATGGAAAACTGAAGGGGGATTTCTTTAAAAGAGATGGAGGCGAGAGGAGAGAAAAGAAAAGAAAAAAAGAAAAGTGGGTGCAAAGGAAGGAAGGGAAATGAAAAGGGGAAAAAAGAGGGATGGATGGATAGATGGATAGAAGGAAGGAAGGAGAGAAAGGGAAATAGAGAAGGAAGACAACAGGGAAGAAAGGGAAATGAGGTAGAGGGGAAAAAAGAGAAGGAAGAGAAGAAGGGAAGGAGGAAGGAGACAAAAGGAAAAAACAGGAAAAGGGAATTAAGGAAAGAAAGAAAGAAAGAAAGAAAGAAAGAAAGCCAAAAGACGAGGAAGGGGAGGGAGATGAGAATGGGCAAAGGGAAAGGAAGAAAGAAAGGAGAGAAAGGGAAGGGAAGGAGCAGAGAAACGGACAAACAAGATGAAGGGAAGGGAGGAATGAGAAAAAGGGAAGAAGGAAGGAAGGAAACAGGAAAGCGAGAAAGAAAAAGCCTGTAGTACAGTGGACTAAAGCACTGTTATTAACAACTGCTGCTTGCAATTACTGCAAGTTCAAATCTCACCAGGCTCAAGGTTGACTTAGCCTTCCATCCTTTCTAAGGTAGGTGAAATGAGGACCCAGATTGTGGGGGCAATAAGCTGACTTTGTATAAATATACAGAAGTATGAAGGCTATTGCTTAACGCAGGGCGGCATATAAATTAAAGAGAAGAAGAAGAAGAGGAAGAGGAAGAGGAAGAGGAAGAAGAAGAAGAAGAAGAAGAAGAAGAAGAAGAAGAAGAAGAAGAAAGAAGAAGAAGAAGAAGAAGAAGAAGAAGAAGAAGAAGAAGAAGAAGAAATAGCTGGCGGGGAGGGGGAGCAGATAGGCCAGCTCCTTCTTTCCCTCCCCATAAAAAAAAAGCCCCAGGCCTGGAGAAGGAAGCGGGGGTGGGGGGCGTCTCTTGGCTGTGAAGCACCGACTCTTATCCTCCCTTCGGGCGACCGAGCGAGCGAAGAAACCACCGCGTCGCCTCTCCACTCCGACGCGCTCACCGGGCAGCCTGAAGCCGACTGCCAGCGGCCGGGCCGAGAAGAAACTCGGCTTCCCCGGTTCGTTGCCTCCGGTCGAACCGGCGCGGATTGCAAAATTGCAAACCCCGAATTTTTGGGGGATGGATGATGGGGAAATCCTCCGTGCTCGGCTGTTGCATGACCAAAGCCAGGGATTCCTTCCTTAAACAGGTCGCCAGTTTTACCCAAATGGGAAGGGAAGACTTTTAACAACCGTCCCACATCCCTCCTTTCCAGACTCCCACTTTAGAGTTTATGGAGTATAGAAATGAATTCCCGAAAGTCGTTGAAAAACCGCATCGGTTTTGGAGGCCTGAAAAAGTCACGCGTCGAATCCGAATTAAAGGGAGGCGCCTTTCCCGACCTCGTTCGTTAAAAATGGGGTTTGGGGAGGAGGAGGGCGACTGGTGAATCGGGTCGTTTTTTAAAAAAAAAAACAAAACAAAACATAAAGGCATTAATCCTTGCGAGGCTGAATCCCGATTAAGGTTGACAGGGGAAAAAAAGAGAGAGTTTAAACAGAAGAAAGATGGAAAACGAAAGAACCAAAAAAAAGTGTAAGTTACCCGCAAACGCCGCAATGAAACAGGGATGCGTGATTAAAAAAATAAAATAAATTTTAAAAAAAGACGCTTTTCGGTTTTGTTTGGCCATCAATCTTGGGGAAATGGATTCCAGAGAATCTAATGGATTCCAGAGAATCCACGCTTCTCCACCCCCCCCCCCCTTTTCTATCTTGACCGCCACATTTTTTTAGTTTGAAGGGAGGAAGAAAAATCCAGCTCCAATCAGTTTTTTAGTCACAGGCAGTTTATTTTGGAGAAGGCAGTCTTCTCACCTAACCATTCCTTTAAAAAAAATCAAACTCTTCCTTTAGACACCCCCTCGTGCTCTATTTTTTCAGCACTGTATTCAGGAAAGGGTTTTTTTTTTTAATTTATTTTTTTTAAAAAAAATCCCTGAAACCTTTCTTTTATTGCACAACTTTCCTTGGGAATATGCAGCCACTTCTTTTCCCCCTCCAAATGCATTTGCATGTGAGCTAAAATGATGATGATTAATTGCTCCTTCGAGAGCGAGGCTTATGCTGGTTTCTCCCCGGACAGTTTTACAGTTTTTAGCGACTTCTTACCCAAGACTGCAAGGATCGAAATACCAACCTAAAAACAGGCTGGAAAAAAAATAAAATAATAACCCCTTCCTTTGTAGAATCGCCCTATTTTTATTTTATTTTTATTTTTTTTAAGGAAGGACCATAACAAAATTTGAATAGGACTTTCAACTGAAGTTATAAAAT